AACACCACTTGCTGGGGGGTTTAAATAACAAAAATTTATTTTCTCAGCGTTCTGGAAGCAAGGAGTCTGAGATCACAGTGTCAGCGGAGTTTTGTGACTTGTTTTGTTTTTTAGGCTACCCTTCATAGATTGTAGATAGCTTTCTCTCTGTCTTTACATAGCCTTTCCTCTGTGCATGTGTATGTCTAACGTCCAAATTTCCTCTTCTTATAAAGGAACCAGTCTATTGGATCGGGCCCATATGACCCTTTTTACCTTAATTATGTCTATCCCAAATATAGTCATATTCTGAGGTACTGGGTGTGAAGGCTTCGATATATGATTTTGGGGAGGCAGAATTCAGCTCAAAATATATGACAACAAGCACACAAATGCATGTATGTATATGTAAATGTATATGTACATTACTCTAAAATTTGTGTCTACAGCCTAGGACCCCTCTCCTGACTTAAATATGCAATTGTGTGATGGCTAAAAGGCATACAAAAATTAATGTGTCCCAAACTGAGTCTCCGAGAATCACTCCCAAATCAGCACTTCCTGCACTATTTCTTATTATAGTCAATGGCAACTCCATTTGAATGGGCCAAAATTCTTCAGGTCATCCTTGACTCCTCTCTATTTCCCACAACTACATCCGTGTCTTCCAAAATTTCTAATAGCTCTACCTTTCCAAAATATGTACAAAATTTGATTCTCATTCTTACCACCAGATTCAAGCAACTGTCATCTCTGGAGGATTGTTGCATTAGCACCCATGCTGATATTATTTTTGCTTCTGCTCTTCCTCACATACATTGTACTCTCAGGCCATAGGCATAACCGTTCTAGGAAAATAAGAAATCACCACTTCTTTCTCAAAACCCTCCAGTGAGTCTCATCTCATTCATGAAAAGCTAAATTCCTTAATGTTACCTCTAAGACTCTATATTTTCTGGTCTTCTTTACTTTTTTTACATTTTTCCTAGCTATTCTCCAATTCAAGAACCCCTTGGTCAATACTGAACATGTCGTGTACGCTTTGACTTCAAGGCTTTTGTACTTGTTAATGTCACTGCCTTGGTACTCTCTCGCCAGATGTTCATATGGGTAGTGTGATCACTTCCTCAGGATTTTACTGGAATTTTCCTTTTCCTTGAGACTTCTTCTGCTATCTGATTAGCACTGCCACTTCTAGAGCTCCTTCCCTGTATTAATGTTTCTCCTTAAAAATTACCAATATTCATTCTACTATATATTTGATTTATTTTATAAGTTATCAAGAAACAGTAGATTTAAAATTAACTTTTTCAAAATCAAGTTATTCCTTCATGTTCAGTATCCTGGGCTTATATATGTTTTGCAGAATGCTATTATCTGATCTTTTACAATTTAATGTTGCTCTCTACAACTTGATGATTAATAATTTTGCTTTTGTGATCAGTAATTACATAGATTTTGTGAGATAATTATAAATTTCTGAGAAAATTTAAAAATAGCCATTCAATTTAATTGAATTATTTATGGTTGCTATTGATAACTTGATGTTATGAAATTTTTAATGATAGTCTTTGACAACCTATTGTGAATAGTCAAAACCTTTATAATAATGTTCAGATGGTTTTTTAACAATGTTTAGGTTTTTAAAACTTTTAATCTTTATATGGAAAATAGAGTACACCACCTGACTCACCAGACTTTTTATAACATTAGTATGTATGATCTTTGAACTACATTATGGACGAGGTAAGAATCTTAGTCCATACAGCTATGAGGTCAGGGCCAGGTTTCCTCTCTTTTAGGAAGAATGTAAGGACAATGGGTGAATAGTCTGTCTTTCCTTAATATTCACTGTTTCAGATGCTATATTAAAATTTTAGTATATCACACAAGTCTATAAGGAAGGTTACTCTTTCTGGCTGAAAAAAACCTGTGAGTTTTCCCGTCTTGTATAATGTCCACCCTTAATTCAATTGACTATGAACAAGCAACAGCACATTCACTCAGATGAAACAATCATACAGGGCCTATTCTCCTGTTATGGGTGTGGTTTGACATATTTCACAGAAGCTATGTACTACGTATTGACTGAAAAGATACCACCAAATTCCTAGTGGGTAGAAGTCCCCAGCCAGGTCCAGAAAATAGAAACTTCTCTACCAAGTTAGTAATTTGGAAACTTATTTTCTTCATTTTGTGACTTCCTAAATTGTTTGGCTTAAAAATCAAGCCAGATATTTTAAAAAGTATTCTGACTAGCTGCTTTACTGTTGTTAATTTTTCACTTTTATCTAGAGAATTAATTAAAATTTTAAGGAGATAATTCTAGAGTCTAGAAATTCCACAGCTTAAGTTTTGCAGATGATACATTTTTTTAAAAAAAGGCAAAAGTTTGGTACAAACCTAGTATATCCACTCTCTTCATATGTCTAGGATAGTCCTTCCTTATTATAATCCAGTAAAAAGAGTTAGACTTCTTATCTCACAAGATCAATAGGAAATCTATTCTCTTTCAAGGTCTCCTCCCCAAGTCTTTGGGAGGAGAGGGTGTCCTAAAAAGTGCCTATGTGATCCATAAATTTATCTAATTTATTTCCCATCACAGTAAATCTGTCTACTACTCCAGATCTTCTACTGGTCACATTTTGTAGTGTTATTACCATCTTTTTTTAGCTGTTCTTATGTTTCTATAACTTCTCACCAAGTGTAGGCCACTCTTCTATAAATTATTTAATTAACATCTCAGATGTAATATTTCAAAACACTTCATAGAAAATTTTTGGCAAAAGTAAATAATTAAAAGCTGGGGGAAAAAGTACATTATACATACTAGATGATGTGGCTCCTGATTTTCACAGGATATGCTCTTCCACTAAACATTTCCCAACTTTCCTCACTCTTCTTAAGTCTAAAAAGTGCCACCATATTGCAAGAACTAGACCACGTGGCTAGAAAAGAGATTGATAGAACAGAGATAGCAGAAACAGACTGAAATGTACATGATTCACTGGATTTCAATCAGCTTGCAAAGGCAATTCAATAGAAAAAAGAAGTCTGTTTAACAAATAGTGATGGCACACATAAATATCTATTTGGGGAAATAAAGGCAGGAAGGAAGAAGAAACAAAGCACCTTTACAACCTTGCCTCCTCATACCATATATAAACATTAACTCGAATGGATCACATATCTAAATGTAAAATCTAAAAATTCTAGAAGAAAATACAGTAGAAACTGTTTATGACTTGTGTTAGGCAATTTTTTTTTACATATGACACAAAAAACATTATCCATAAAATAAAATTATAAATCAAACTTCATTAAAGTTAAGAACTGTGTTTTAATAGACTATTTTAACAAGATGAAAGATACATCCACAGATCAAGTAAAAATATTTGCAAATCACATTTCTGATGAAGGACTTGTAAATAATATTTACATACATATTTATGACTCAAATTTCAATAAAAATGAAACCCTATTCTAAATGAGAATTATTAGACAAAGTTAATTATTTTCATGTAATGGGAGAAGGAAAACATTAAGAGTAGGCTTCCTCTAATAGTGTCCTATTTAGTCTAGTTAGTCTACGAGCACTACAAATAAATATTTTTGCTAGTATTTCACTACTAATCTCTGACTTAGAAATAAGAACTCTTTATGTATCATTCCATGAATGGAAATATTCAGCCCAGCTTGAGATATCCTCAGAATGCAGAAAAGCAAAAAATAAATAAATAAATAAATAAATAAAATTAAATGTCAGGGTTATGTCTAAAAAGGTATAAATATCATATGCATTAAGTACTTCAAGTACTTTGATAAAACAGACTAAAGAGTTTAGGTTTTACTTTGAATACCACAAAAGATAAGAATTTGACATACAATGCAGAAAGCATTTATTTTTAACAAAATGATTTGGGCCATTTTAAGAAACATGCTGAAGCACATGTACTTCTTATCTCTTATTAGCGTGTGAGATAAATATAAGAAAATATTTATGAGATCATCTCTATAGAAAAAATGCATTCCAGCCAGACAGCAGAGCTAAAGTATGTGCCTAATAACATTACATTTGATAAAATAAACTGCACACAGGGGATTCTAGTATGTATTTTATGGGAAGTTTGCTGAATATCTGCATTCTTCATCGGCCAGATCAAATAGCAATGTTTTCCTTATGTCATTTTTCCTCTATTTATTTTTGTATATGTAAGACATTTATATATACAAAACATATACTACATATATAATAAATAAGAAATATAACACCGTCAATACACTTTAAGTCCCTTAGGCTCTCATCTCCAATCTCTCCTCAGCCTTTACCCCAGGAGTAAGTACTATTCTGAAACTCGTGCTTTATTACACATAGGCAGTGAAGAGCATAATTCTACAGTGCAAACCTTTCTTAATTTAAATCGATGTATATTTTGATATAACCATAACACAGATTAATATATGGAATATTCTTAGCACCCCAGAGACCTCTTGTGTGCCTCCCCAGTCAGCCATAACCAAACCAAATGCAAATGCCATACTTCTTTTTATTATCTTAAAGCACTGCTGCTTTTTCTTAATATTTATATAGACCAAATCATACAGTAAATACTATTTTGTCTCTAATGGTTATGGCTACGGTTTTTAAATATATCTATGCTGTTGCATTTTGTGTAGTTTATCCTTTTTCGTTGCTACATCAATTTCCATTGCATGGTTATACTACAATGTGTTTGTCTATTCTACTCCTGGGTATGGCTTGTTTCCAGTTTGAAACTAGTTTGAATAAAACCATTAGCAGCATCTTTGCACATGTCTTATTGGTATGAAGCTAAACACATTTAGTTTTGTTGGATTTACACAAGTAGAAATTCTGGGTCATAGAGTAGGTGTCTGTTTAGCTTTAATAGACAGTGCCAAACAGTTTTCCAAATAAATTTATCAATTTAAACTCCCATCAGTAATATGTGAGAATTCTGGCTGCTCCATGCTTTATTCAAAACTTGTTTTTTTCATTTTTTTTTAAAAAAACTTTTAGCCATCTGGTAGGTTTATAATGATATATCTTGTGGTGGTTTTAATTTGCATTTGCCTAAAGATCGCTGTGATTTTGAGCAGATTTTTATGTTCATTATCCTTTTGAATATCCTCTTTTATGAAGCGCCTGCTTAAGTTCTTTACCCTTTCTTCAAATTAGCTTGTCTGAGCCTTTTATACATTCTGGATACCATTCTTTTTTGGACATATATATTGCAAATATCTTCCAGTCTGTAATTATTTTTTAATATTCTATGTCTTCTTGATTCTCAGATTTTTTTTTCTGGACTTATTTTCTTTCTTTCAGTATACTCTTTAGATATGCTTTTACCAAGAGATCAATTGACTACAAGCCTCCCCGGTTTTGTTTATCTGTTTTTGTCTATATGCTGTGTCTAATCTAGGTTTGTTTTAGTACTTAATTTTGAAAATGTTTTAACTGGATTAACGGTTCTCACTGGACAGCTTTTCCCCTTGGCACCTCATCTTCCAGCTTTTGTATTAGGCTTAGAAAAGTCAACTGTTTGTCTAAGTGATATCCCAGTCCTATTTTATATCCTCCTTCTGAAATTTCACTATAAGTTGTCAGGAAATTACTTCTTTATTCTTCATGAAATACACCACTGTATTTTCTAAATCTGAAATTTTGTATTTTTTATTATTTCTAGAAAGTTCTCAGGCATCATCTCTTTGAATTGCACCACTCTCTGAATTTCTCCTACTCTTCCTCCAAGTAAGAAAATATTCTGCCTTCTTAAACTCTTCTCAGTGTTTTTTAACACCTCTTTTATAGTTTCCACTGTCTTGTTTTCCTTGCTGCATTCTGGGTAATTAATTAAGGTCTACCATCTCAGGAACTTTCTCTTCTGCTGTGTCTAATCTGGGTTTGTTTGTTTGTTTTTTAGTTATTATATTCATCATTGTATTAGTCCATTTTCACGCTGCTGATAAAGACATACCTGAGACTGGGCAATTAACAAAAAGAAAGTGGGCTATTGGACATACTGTTCCGTGTGGCTGGGGAGGCCTCACAAACATGGTGGAAGGTGAAAGGCACATCTTACATGGTTGCAGACAAAATAAGAGACCTTTTGAAGAGAAAACCCCCTTTTTAAAACCATCAGATCTTGTGAGACTTATTCACTCTCACAAGAACAGCATGGGAAAGACCTGCCCCCATGATTCAATTACCTCCTACTGACTCACTCCCACAACACATGGGAATTCAAGATGAGATTTGGGTAGGGACACAGCCAAACCATATTAATTATTTCTAGTATTTTATGTTTATTTTGTACTCTTGCAAAAACAAGACCATTAGAATGAGTTTTACATTCATATTGTCAATCAAGCATACAAGAAACAATACATTTACCAAGCACTAAGTTTACTTAGCTTTAATAAAGGGTATGAAACAGATAGCAAGTACTGTGTGGGGCAAGAAAGTCCTGGAGGGCTCAGACACCAAGCTGCAGCTTCTTATGTGTCCAATCATTTCACTGTTCTCAAGAAATGACAGGAATATGTTGAGTGAGGATCACATCAGCAAACACAAGCCACAGGGACTAGGGTCCCACAGCTTAACAGCTTAAGTACTTTGCTAGTCACCGAAAGGGGTATGTATCTAGCTCGCATTCTTTAGTACCACTTTGGCATATTAATAACAGAATACATAATAAACAATTGTAATAATTATGTAAAGAGTGCTTAGATTTATACTTTCATAAATACTCAGTACAAGTTCTCTCTGATAGGAGCATGTGAGGATCAGATAATAATTAATCTCCTTGGTCAGGTCCATCTCACATTGGGTGCATTGGTTTTACAGACCCTACCCATGGTCATTTCCTCATTTTTCAGGTTATAATCAAAACAGACATATATATTGGCTCTTGGAACCATAACAATGGTTTCTTGGTTTGTGGTGAAAGAGCTATTATAATACAAAAAGCTGAGTTGAATGAAACTACCTTCATTTACTCCTGGCCGAAGTAATAAATATAAAACAAATGTTGTATTCTAAGTATATTGGCATAAATCACTGCTACCCTCAAAGGTTTAAAGAATTCAGGGATGATGGACTCTGTCATATTTACATTTAATTTAGCAGCAGGTCCCTACAAAAACCTGATATATTACATAACTGACAGGAAACTTAGCCAAGTAGTGACCCTAATAACAAGTACTATATTTTTACCAGGCCAGTAAATTTACTAGACCAGGCAAGTTCATTCTTTTTAATATCTTTTAAGAAGGATCAAAAACAGTTCTCATGTCAATTTCAACCTCAGGGCAATTCTAACTCTCCTGCCTTCTGCCACAGCAGAGTCCAAATGACCAAGTTCACCTGGAAATGCTATAATACATCATGATGGTTCATTATTAGAAAAATACTGTTATTTTGACAAGATGTAAAGAACTATGGGCTTCCTCGTAAGACACATACAATCCAGGGACTGTTAGATAAACCTTGCAAACATTCAAGATGTTGCCATATGGATAAAATTTTTAGGATTCCAGTGAGCTAAGGAAGCTAGGATATCTCCTCAGACAAAGAACAAGTCATTGCATTGTCTTTATTTGTTCTGGATTGCTATAACAAAATGCCTTAGACTGGGTAATTTATAAAGAATAAAAATTTATTACTCACCATTCTGGAGGCTAAGAAGTCTAAGATAAAGGCACCAGAAGATTTGAGGTCTGGTGAGGGCTTGCTTTATTTCAAAGATGCACCTTTTGCTGCATCCTCACATGGCAGAAGGGAGAAAGGACACTCTTTTCAACCTCTTTTTTAAGATAACTCATCCAATTCCTGAGAGTAGAGCCATCATGACTTAATTACTTCTGTAAAGGCCCATATTTTAGTATTATCACATTGGGTATTGGTTTCCAACATATGAATTTTGGAAGACACCGACAAATTCAGACCATAGCATGTACTTTACACCTCTTTCCACTAAGAAAGCATTTAGCAAGGCTTTTGGAGTTGGATAGGCAGTTTATACCACACTTGAGTATACTGCTCTGAATAAAATCTCTGGCAAGCTCTAACAGAATTACTGTGCAATCCCTGGAACATGGCCATAACATTTTATCACAGAACTACACAACATTTGAAAAGCAGCTGTCACCATGCTACTTTACCAAGTAGAAAACTGATATATGACAATGGAACATTGTGTAATCATAAGACTGAGGCTGCCGTCTTGAGCTGGTTGCTATCAGACACATGAATTCATAAGATCAAGTAAGCCCAGCAGCAGCAGCAGCACTTTGCAAGATAGAAGCAGCACATTCAGGACTGGGGTGGAGCAGGTCCAGATGATACCAGTGAGCTATGCCAATGAGTGACTGATGAGACCCTCAAGTCACTCACTCACCGTTGTTGTACCTGCATTTTTTATTCAGCTTACACTTCCAGAGATCATGGTGAGGTTCTCTAGAAACAATTAATAAAATGAAGTGGAGTCATTCATGGATGGGTCAACCTGGTGTATTAGCAGAGGCCCAAAATGGATTACTGTTGCACGAGAGCCCCACTTAGGAAAGAGTCTGAAAGACAATGATGAACTGAAATCCTCCCGGTGGACAGAGTTGCGTGCATCTGGTTGTCCACTTTGAGTGTAAAGAGAAAAACAGCCTGCAACCAGGATAAACATAAACTCCTTAACAAGTGGCTTCAATAACAAATGGCTTAGCTGGTTAGTCAAATACTCGGATACAGATAAAGTTGAATATGAAGGAAAAAAATATCTGAAGAAGAGGATGACCATACCTGTAGAAATGAAGAAAAGATGTGAACATTTTGTATAGCACATTAGTGTTCAGCAGAGAGCATCTGTATTATAAAATCAATTAGACAGGTTGACTGAATCAGTAGATATCAACTAGCCTCTGTCCTTAGTGACCCCAGTACTTACACAAAGGACTCATGAGTGGAGAAACCACGATGGCAGATGTGACTGTAAGTCATGGGCCAACAGCATGAACTTTCTCACAAAGGTTGACCTCGTTACTGTTACTGTTGAGGGTTCAACTTCCCTGTCACAAAGACCACTGTTTGGCCCTCTCCCTGATAAGGTGCCATCTTTGGAGAAACAATCTAGTCAGTTGGTAAGAATTTTATTACATTGAATCCCTTTGATCCCAGAAGAATCTATACTTTCTCATAACTGAAATTGAAACATATTAAAGGTATTAGTTTGCTTTCCCTTTCCTCAGTGCCTCAGCCAGCTCTGCCACAGAGGGGTCACAGAATTTCTGTTCTCCCAACATGATATCCTGTTACATCATCTCAGACCAAGTGACACAATTCATCACAAGGGAGACGCAACAGTGGGATACACCTATGGGACTCATTTGTCCCATCATATAGTACACAATTTGGAAGGTGCTTGACTTTGGAACAAATTTTCAAAGGTTCAGCTGAGGGATCAGCATAGTAGTATAATCCATGCTCCAGGATATCCTTAGGATCGGGCTGGAAAGATTAGGTTGGACTTCTCATAAAACCACATATTTATCTAGATATTCTCATGTCCTGCTCTGCTTCTTCCACTTCCATACAGGTTTCTCCTAAGAACACTCCAAAAAACCACTGAATGAGGATCTCCCCCCTTAACCTGTGCTTCTAGGGGACCAGAGCTAAGATAACAAGGAGTAGATGAGTATTTGTGATGGCACATAACAGTGGAAGTGGGAAAGAAAGAAAACCCAAAGAAGAAAAGATGCCAGACTCCAAAACTAAAAAGCCTTGATCTAACATTTAACATATAATTTAGAACAGATATATATTATAAAATAATAACAGATAAATGTATTGAGGACTTACTTTTTGCCAAAGCTCAAAGCACTTTACATATATTAATTCATCAAATTATCACAACAACTTTACAATGCAGATTCTATTTTAATCCCTATTTTACATATATATAGGAATTTGAAGCAGAAAGAGGCTCACAAACTTATCCAAGGCAACCCAGTAAATAGGGAGTCAGTATTCAGACCTGAGTTGTCATATTCCTGACTTTAATCAGTTCACTCAGCAAACATATATTGAGTCCCAGATATATGCCAGACACTATTCTAAGTGCCTGGGTGTAATGCAGAAACCAGTAAGAAATCCTGTCTTCAGGGAGTTTACATTCTAGTTTAAAAGGGACAGAAAAGAAACAGGACATGTAAAATATATAACTTGTTATGTTAGATAGAATAAACTATTATGCAGAAAATTAAGGCAGGGAAGGAGCTAGAAAGACCAAGAGGAGTTGAGGTTACAGTTTGAGATAGGGTGGCCAGGGCAGGCCACACTGAGAAAGCCTGAAGGAAGTATGGGACTGATCTGTTTGGAGGGGTGAGCTAAAAGTGTTCCAGGTGGGGAGAACAGCAAATTCAAAGGCCCTGGGATAGAACTAGCCCTGGCCTAGTTGATGAATAATGGTGTATTAGTCCATTCTCACACGGCTAATAAAGACATATCCACGACTGGGCAATCTATAAAGGAAAGAGGTTTAATTTACTCACAGTTCAGTATGGCTGGGGAGGGCTCAGGAAACTTATAATCACGGAAGAAGGGGAAGCAAACACATCCTTGTTCACAGGGTGGCAGCAAGATGTTTTGAGCAAAAGTGGAAAAAAGCCTTTATAAAAGTCATCAGATCTCATGAGAATTCATTCACTATCAGGAGAACAGCAAGGGGGAAACTACTCCCATGATTGAATTACCTCCCACGGGGTGCCCCCCATGACATGTGGGGATTATGGGAACTACAAGTTAAGATGAGATTTAGGTGGGGACACACCCAAACCATATCAAATGGGAAGGTCAGCATGACTTGAGCAAAGTGAATAAGAAGAATCCATAGAGATAATGGGAATAGATTGTGTACACCTTTCTAGATCGTTTTAGGAATTTTGGCTTTTATTCTGAATGAGGTAGCACATCACTGTGGTGTGTAATAATAGCACATATTTTAATGAGTTCATTCTGGCTCTCACAATCAGAATAGCTTGATAGGCAGCAAGAGCTGGAATGGGAAGAATTGTTACAGGGTTTTTGCAATAATCCAAAAGAGATGACTGAAGCTGGGACCACAGCAGTAGAAGTAGAAGCAGTCAGAAGTGTTACAATTGTGGAAATATTTTCATGATAAAATCAAAAGAATACTTTTATTCCTTTGGATTTCATTTTTAGTATTTCAGCCTACTGAAATAGATCCTAATTCTGATTCTCCCCAGAGTTTTACACATTATCTTCCTTTTAGAGGCAACTTGAACCAATAACTGTTTAAATACCTATAAGTCTCATTACATGTTGACTTTGATCTTAAAATAAACTGTTTTTATATTAAAATCCTGGATATGAGTTGAGCTAGCCCATCTCAACAATCACATTTTCCTCTTTTCATTTCTCACTCCTTTCCGACAGTCTTTTCCAAAACTGCTTGACTGATTCAATTAGGAAGCAGCCAGTATTAATAATTGGTAGTCTTGGCACCTATCTCTGCAGCTTGCCATGCTGTGAAGTTTGGTCATTATGCTTGAGCTCAGCACTGTAAGTTCATAGGGGATGGAGAGGACACAGGGAGGACAATCTCTCTCCTCCTGGCCTTTTTTTTTTTTTTTTTTTTTTAAAAAAAAAAAACAAAAAACAAGCAGCGCCCTCCTTAGTGACCAATTGATTTCAATCCTAGTTAAAGAATATTTTAACTTAATTGTTACAGGAAGATAGTTATTCTAGAGTTAAACATAGAAGAGAACACATACAAATAAAAATTAGGAAATTTATTTTCAATCTTCCAAATCTCCAATAGTTGAACAAGAAGTTTATTACACTTTTCAATATTAAGACAACTGGAAGCACAGTATGTGAAAGGACTTATATTTAGAAATGTTATATATGATTTCTATTAGAAAGGCCTTGATAATTTACAACCAAAGTAAGGTATGCATTCTCTTAATTTTCTAATCAAAGAATCGTTCTTACTAAAAGTACAAATTTAATTGTTCTCATATTCCAAATAAAAATATTAATTTTTCACTATTATTTGAAAAGAACAAATTATATGAGTCTAAAACACCCATAATGCATTTGGTCAAAGTTGTTAGGTTGAGTGAAGATTCGCTGTGGCCTTCAATACGAAATGTAGGGCTTAGAAAAGTTTTTGTTCTTGTCTGTACAGGCAGAATAAATAAAAGTAAAACTATCCCATAAAATTCTAGAAATTGTAGATAAGAAATGATATTACCACAAAGCAATTTTTAGAACATTAGAAATCAGGATTCGTTATCGCTTAAAAAGAAAAACAATAAGGGAAAGTAAGCTTAATCAGAATATAAACATCGAAAAATTTCTAATTGTATTTCTTTTGTTAAAAAGTTGACTCACAATTTATTGTCTTCAGAAACACTTTGGTACAAAATCAACAAATTTTTCCATATAACATAAAATAAGTATGAGATAGGATGTTAGCTAGCAGATTTTGTACAGAGTATGATCTATGGATGAAGTTCAAGCTTTACTATTAAATTCCTATGTAACATTAACCAGATAGCCTGTCTCTTCATTCTGTTAGAGGAAAAATAATATTGTTCTTATATACTTAATACATAATAAGATAAATTATCAACATGTGAGAGCCCTTAAAGTTATTTTTATAGATGATACAACTATGAGAACATAATTCTAATGTATACTAATTAAGAATCCCTTTGGTTTATTGTCAACCAAATTTATTATACCTCATTATAATTTTATTGCCTTTTTCTTTCCATCAAAAGTTATGATTAACTAGATAATTTTCCTACAATCCTAATAAACATTCATCTAAAGAATTATCTGGTATATAGTACATAAAATATTAAGACATCACATCAGAAATCTGGTGAAATTTCAGTCATGAAGTTGTTGTTGGGGAATAAAAGAGAAGGTTGTGGAAAAACTCCTATGACTCTCAATGGCTTTGGCTGTTGAAATTCAAACATATTCATTACACAGTGCATTTTACAAATACACTGCGAATGTGAAGCCAGACTCCTTTCCACAGATCCAAGGGATGTGGATAAGAAACCTGGACATTTTAAGTCACTCAGATATAAAATTATTTTTCTTTAGGTCTTGTTAGAAATGATGATAGCACTAAAAATGGCAAAACACATTCTGAAAAAAAGGAAAATATTTGGTGGGCTTTTATCCCATTTCAGACTGCTTTTACTCAGAAACTGACATACAAAATTATTTCTCAATTACTTAGTTGTTGGTAGTAGAAATAAGAACACCTCCCCCAAAATGTGTACCTTAAATAAATATCTCCTAAATAACAACAAAACAATACATACAGGCTTAGACACAACAGAATAGACTATAGGAATTCTATACCATAGGTTTCTCTAAGTTTTATCTGTTAAGACGTTTAAGGTTGTTCTCTTGTTTACAGCGATGAGTCAAGTTTCTTCTGGAGTCTGTTGGGAAATACTTGCTTTTCAGTTAGAAGGCTAGCTTCCTTTTTCACTGCAACATTTATGCTTGCTGCCTAAGTGGCTTCTGTCACATCTTGTTATTTCTGATGTTTTTCATTTTTGAACATTTCTATAAATAAAAAAATAAGAAGCGTTTATCAGAAACAAGCATTGAAAATAACCAGAAAGGAAACTGCCTGCTTTCAAATACTGTTGACACTCACATGCATGTATGCTTTTTGAGAAATGGTTGGAAGTAAAGCAGAAAGAGCCAACAAAATAAAATGGGGGGAAAAAAAACAGAAGAAAGTAGCTCTTCAGAAACAAGGTAGATACTTGTGTAAGGCAGGAGATAATAGCTTAGATGTAGAAGTGTTTTTCCATGGACAAAATGCTTTTCTTTGCATTTTAGTTCATCCTTATGAAAACTCTATCGTATGGGTAATGTAAGGTAGAAAACTGAGGCCTCAATGAAGTTGAGACCTGCCTAGAAATCACACAGCTAGCAAGATGATGAAGCTGATTGTGTCTAAAAATGCCTGTTTCTGGACTCAACAGTCTGGCTGTGGCACTATGCCTGCAGAATAGAATACAAGCCTACTTAGGAGTTCTAAGAACTACAGAGGAGGAAAAGGGTACCTAGTAATTGTTAAACTGAAGTTAGGGTCCTTTGTAGGGACATGGATGAACCTGGAAACCATCATTCTCAGCAAACTGACAGAAGAGCAGAAGATCAAACACCGTATGTTCTCACTCATAGGCGGGTGTTGAACAATGAGAACACATGGACACAGGGAGGGGAGCACTACACACTGGGGTCAGTTGGGGGGAAATAGGGGAGGGAGGGTGGGGGGTGGGAAGCTGGGGAGAGTTAGCAAGGGGAGAAATGCCAGACGTAGGTGATGGGGAGGAAGGCAGCAAATCACACTGCCATGTGTGTTCCTATGCAACAATTTTGCATGTTCTTCACATGTACCCCAAAACCTAAAATGCAATAAAATAAATAAATGGAAAAACAAAAAAAAAAAAAGAAAAACCAACAGGCCTCCAGCATAAGCTGTACTATCTAGTTAAAGTTCCCAGTTAACATATACACCTGGCATTAATACAACATGTCAGACCCTCAAATAAAGCAAGCTAAGCTACAAATAGGAATTGTGCCTGTCTTCAGGCAAGGCACTTAATTCCTTTCTACTATAGCTTTACGGAACACGATGGATGGGTGATTGAAAGAAGCCCTAAAAGCAAGCACTGCAAGTCTTCAAGAGGAACAGAAAACCAGAAATCTCTCTGACCGTCCCCTGCCTCTGTTCTACTAGAGGTTAGTTAAGTGCTAGCTGCCTGGACCTGGAGAGAAAGTCTCTGTTGGTCTTCCTTCTGAGTACTCAGTAGCCTATAACTGCCTCCCTCCCTCCCTCCCTCCACACTCTCTCCCTCCCTCCCTCCCCACTCTCTCCCTCCCTCCCTTCCTCCCTTACTTCCTCGCTTCCTTTCCTTTCCTTTCTCCTTCCTTCCTTCCTTCCTTCCTTTCTCCTTCCTTCCTTCCTCCCTTCCTTCCTTTCTTCCTCCCTTCCTTCCTCCCTCCCTCCCTCCCTTTCTCCCTCCCTCCCTTTCTTCCTTCCTTCTTTTCTTCCTTTCCTTCATTCCTTTCCTTTATTTCTTCCATTTGTTTTTTCTTCCCTCTTCCCCTCTCCCATTTTTCCTCACTTTCTTCTTTCTTTTCTTCTTTGAATTCTTTTTCTGTCACACTAACTTTATAACCTAAAGTAATTTACCTAACCTTTATGTGCCTCATTTTCTCATATTTTTTTAAAGGAGAAGGAGAAGGAGGAAAATACTGCCTATTGAATGGAATAATCACAAAGATAGAATATGTCAATAAATGTAAAAAGATTGAAATTATCTCACCATCTCTTAGCGACTTTTATGATATATGTGAAACACAGAAACAAAATTTGCAGTTCTGTGACTCCTGAGGAGGTCACAGACTAATTGAGAAAAAAGAAAGGTAATGTCGAAGAAGAAAGAAGAAGAATATCTCTACACATCATGTTAATTCCCCTAATGGTCTGAATTTCTTTCCTCTATCAACGTTTCCATCAGTACTATCTGGAGCTGGGAACTAGAGCGGTCAGTGGACTGATGAGGAAGAGAACCTGCACTGCATGTTCTCCTAGATTTTCTTCCCACTCCTCATGATCCACTGTCTTCAAAGGATGCCTTTAGATTTTCAGATGTTTCTTATATGACAAACAATAATAAAACCACACACTGTACAATATACATTTTAGATAAAAGAACACAAGATTTTTAGGCAGTATGCCCAGGTTTTATTCCCACTTCTATCATTTACTATCTTTGTGACTTTATCTATAAAAAGGAATAACAGCAATATTTCTTCCTTACAGTGTTGCTTTTTCTAAGGGAGCAGGGGGATGGGATGAAGGAAAATGAAATAAATGAATTGTAGTACAGAGAATTGGAATCTGAAGACCTAGATCTGATTCCTGGGCCTACAACTTAACTGGCTGTGTGTCTTGAGGAATCCCTGAATTCCATTTTCTTATCAGTGAATACGTTTTCATTATAATAACTGAATCATAGAGAGTTTAGGAAATATCAAATAAAATAATGATCTTGCAAGTACTTTGTAAAATGTAAAGTGCTACAGAAATATTACTTGCTATTACCATCTCAGAGTCATATAAATCTATTACAAGCATGCAGTTTGAAAGTTCAATCTGTCATCTTGACAGTTATTGGTCTAGCTCTCCCTTGTCAATAAGCTGATTTAAGATAGTACATAATCAAGCAGAAAAATGGGAGTTGAGGTAATTAAAATAATCAGATTATTTCCACATAAAATACTGGGATTTAAGCAATCTTAGTTTTAGAGGGGACCTTTTAGGTCATCTCACCCTGCCTGATCTAACCCAATCTTCACCCAGTGCAATGGTCTATGAATTGAATCTATGCTAAATTGGTCTAAATTGAATCTATGCTCTGGTGGCAAGCTCCAGTTGATAGCAGAAGATTCCACATTGAATCAAAACTGTGTTCCTTAGCATAATAACTTTCAAGAAATCTCAAAATGTGAAAGAACTTTTTTTTTTTCTGACAATGATTTAGGTTTTAAAATCCCAGTTGATTTAAAGCGTTTTTCCTTTTGGCATTCATCACCTATTCCTTTTGGAAATGTCGCAAGTTTAATAAGGAGGTGATGATTTCATTGAAATGAATATTCACTGAAGCAATTACTCAGATGATCACACTAACTGAGGTATTTATAATCATGTAGACTAGGTTCCTTGGAGATCAAATGAAGTATTTCCCAATTAGAAGAGTAGACATAGAATGGAGTTTCATTTTGCTTTTCTCTCCCAAAAACACAGGCTAAAGAAGTGTCCTTCAATGGTTAGAATTACATCTTTGTAGGAATAATCTACAAAATGAAGTTATAAGAATAAAATTACATAGATAATTATTGGAATAGGAAGGTTTATATGAAAGAAAATTTCCATTTCCTCATATTTTGGAGGAATCAAGCTGAAGTATGTCTAGAAGTAATTTACATTATCTTATAAGGCTGATGTTTCCTAAAGGGTTAATTTGAAGGAAAAATATTCCCTCTTCATTTTCCTTTTAGGGAACTTTGAGTGCCAGTCACCTGAAATTGCTCAACATGATGGTGAACATTCAAACCTGCCGTGAGCCATCTACCTCTTATAGGATGCAACTTGATTGTGGTTTCTTGGAGTCTCTTCTGAGCAGTTTCAACTGGATTTTCATTCATGTTTTCGTATTTGTACCCACCATTAGTTTCCCTTTCCTTGTATCTTTTGTAATCAAATTGTTGGCTGAGACTGAACAAACAAATAATACAAGCTAATAGCTGCTTTATTTCCCCTCTCATTTGAAGTGATTAAGTGGGTATTGCATTATGTTTCAGAGATGAGTCTTTGCACTCTTGGCAACTGTTTTTGCATGCAGAAAATGTTTGATAGAATCCACATGTAATCTGTCAAACACAAGATAGGAGTATGGAGTTCATTTTTGTATTCAAGAAATACTTAATGTGAACCTCTTATGAGCCAGAGACTTTCCTATAACCTAAGGATAGAGCAAATGGATAAAAATCCCTGCCTTCATAGTGACCTTATGTGGAATAGGTGACCAATAATCAAAATAAAGAGGACAGTGAAAAATATGTTAGAGAGCATAAAGGAAGCAGACAGTCCCAGACAGGAGGGTTATAGTTTTAAAATAAGGTGATCACCAAGAAGGTAACCATTGAAGAAAGACCTAAAGGAAGTGAAGCTGAAAGCCACATGGATCTCTGGGGAAAGATTGTGGCATTTAGATAAAACAGTCTGTGCCAGCCTTGAGGATAGAGCTCTTCTAGGGTTTCTGAGAAACCACTATGAAGCCAACATATCCAGAGTAGTGAGAAGGGAGGAGAAGTAGGGAGGCCACTGGAGGATATTAACGAGAGGCGTTTACACTGTCTGATTTAAGATGATAATATACTTACTCTGGCTGTTGTGTCAAGAACGGACACTATGGGCCAAGTGTGGGAGCAAATAGACTAGTTAGAATGGAACTGCAAGAATCTGGATAAGAGACAGTGGTAGATAGCAGCAGATAGTTTCGATTTGGTTGGTAGCAGTAGCCATGGAAAAAAAAATGAGCATATTCTAGATGTGGTTTGAGGATAAAGCCGATCAGACTTTCTGGTAGAGTGGATGTGATAAATGAGAAGAACAGAAAGGTTGTTCACAATTCTTCTAGTGCATTATTTTTCAAAGTGTAATGCATAGAGCCCCTATAGCAGATTCACCTGAGATATGTTGAAATATATCCCTGTGGTGTATCTGAGAACCTCTGTATCGTACTTTTTCTCTAAAGAGCCAGACGGTAAATATCTGCTACCATATTTGACTGTGGTGAGAGAGCACTAAAGCAGTCAAAGACAATGTTTAAATAAATGTGGATGTGCGCCAATAAAACTTTACTCATAGACACTAAAATTTGAATTTTATATAATTTTTACATGTCAAAAATTATTTTTTAATATTCTTTAACATTTGAAAATGAAAAAGCAAACATTCATGGCTCCTGAGCCATAAAAAA